GGCGCCTCGCAGCGCCCTTGACTTGTCCCGAGCCTGCTCGACATCGCACTGTTTCCTCGGCCACCTCTGGACATGGCCCCTCGGCGCCGGGCCTAGCGCGTCCTCGACGGAGGCGACCACGCCCTCGAAGTAGCGGGGCGGAGCAGGCGTCGAATACCACCGCGAACCGACGGGGCAGCATCTCAACGATCATCAGCCCGCCCAAGTTCCGCTGGTCGTAGACCCCGCCCTGGTAGATCGCCTCCACGAGCACCTTCGGTTCGTGGACCCCACGACCATTGGCGCCGAGCCCCTTCGTGCGGACGAAGAGCTGCAGCCAGAGGCGCAGGTCGCCTCCGTTCCGCTCCATATGCTTGCGCACGTTGAAGGCTCCAGGCGGGGATCTCCAGTCGTCCGGCCCTTCTGCGGGGCATCCGCCAACTCGTCGGGACCCAGCTCCTCGCAGAACTGTCAGAAGGGTCGCACCTTCCTCGTCCTCATCGCCCAGGTGAAGATTCGAGACGGTCCCGTCTCAGGGCCCTTGCAGTTCAAGTCCTCCCGGCGGACGTCGCCACTGGGCAACTGCACCACCCCGCTCCCTTTCCTGACACGTCGTGCAGGAACACCCTCACGTGATCCACCTGGTCATCAGACCACGTGCTCTTCTGGGAGGGCCTTCTTAGTCCACCACTCCGACCGCGCGGCGCCGCGGAGCCACGCCGTGGCCGACGTCCTGCCTTCTGCCGACCGCCCTCGCCGCCAGGCAGTGCACCACGCCTCCCGGCGCCGCGCTCGGGAGCTTGTCGGTCGCCCCTCGCCCAGCGCCGACCCTAGCCCACGGGGCGAGCGAGCACGCGGCACGGGGCGGCGGCTTGCAGGCCGGGGCGGGCCGCGCACGCCGCCGCCTCCCGGCACGCCGGACGAGAGGGCAGGCCGGAGCGGGACAGGTCTGCGGCGCCTGCCCCCGGCCCGGGCGCGAAGAAGGCCGAAGGGCCTCCAACGCCAGCACGGCCCAGGCCGGAGCAGCGGCGGCGCACTTTGGGATGGCGGCCGCGGCCATCGAGCTCGGGACCCGAGGAGCCAGCGTGTGGCAGAAGATGCGGAGCCAAAGGGGCGACAGATCTGAAACCACCCCGAGACTTCCTTCGCGTGCACGCGCAAACCAGTCAGAGTTCTCAGAGGGTCGCAGCTTGGAGGAGCTGGTGAAGAAGCGTTCGGATTCATTGGCATCCTTATCAAGCTGCACGGAGAGAACCCCGAGGGAGTGGTTACGGTGGGCTTCCCGCGTATGGCGGGAGACACGGCATGGATGATAGCGCGATCTGCGCTGTCACATGTGATGCCGCGCACCTTTGCTCCCAAGGAGTGGATTCGGTGGTCGTCCCCCGCGCTGAGGGAGGCACGGCATGGTGGATAGCGCGAGTTGCGCTGTTCCCATGTGACGCCGCACACCTGCGCTGGGAGCTGGACAGAAAAATCGGCTCAGAGGGAGATGTGCCTTAGCACGTTTGCCGGCAATAGGGAACATAGCAGCTTTGCAATGAACCTGGCAGATTATCATTGTGAATGCTCAGTGTTGTTGCTTTCAGGTGCATCGGAAGTGAATGGTGCCGAAAGGTGGCACTCAGATTTCTCGAAAGTGAAGAGGTCCGCGTGATCAGTCTTCCCTGCTCTACTGGTCTAGATGCACATCGTGTGGTGCATCACTGCTGTCGTCAGCAGAAGGTACGCTGCGTCGGCAATGCCTGGAATTTGGAGCCCGCGGGATTCATCTTCCTCGATCAATTGTTCGAAAGTGTGGGCGTTTGACTAGGCAGGTCGAGAGCCGTACGAGGTGGGGTGTTTCCGTGCAGCAGTCTATGCACGGCAGTTAAGAGAGAATGCCAGACACGGTGATTTGAACACTCGCCATGTAACAGTCCAGCTCTTGTAGCAGAACAACGGGCCTGAGCGACGCTGACCTGCTGCGCTCTTCAACCACGTGCTAAGTTTATTCCTTATGATCACCATTGTCCTCCTCTCAGTCTTCCCTCCTGCAAGGGCCAGAACAGCCAACCTGATTTCACGCATCATGGGTGACAAACGCAAGGAAACAAGGACTTGCAATTTGCAACGGAATCAGCTCCAGGCACTCCCATGTCTCTTCTTTCACCAGTCGCCTGCATTGAGCACCTCTCCCCCCAACCTCTCGATCTCTCCGCCCTCGTCTTGCTTCCCTCGTGTTCAGGGACGGGGACGGCGAGTTCCATGGACATGTTTTCGGCCTGAATATCTCCCATGTCCCCATTGCCCGAGCACATTCCTATAAACAAACACTTGTTGTTAAGATTTATCCGCCAACCAGATGTCCAGGCTCGGCTCATGGTGACGCAATCGGAGGTCGCCAGAAATTCATGATGTTCCAAGGAGCCCCAACTTTTCTCACAATTCTGAACCCCCTGGAGCCGCCTGGACCTTGTAAAAAAAAAAAACAGGAAAAAAAAAAAAAAATAAAAATAAAAAAGAAAAAAAAAAACAAAAAAAAAAAAAAAAAAAAAAAAAAAAAAAAAAAAAAAAAAAAAAAAAAAAAAAAAAAAAAAAAAAAAAAAAAAAAAAAAAAAAAAAAACTGGAGCCGCCTGGACCTTGTAAAAGGGAGGGAATACTTCGGAGACCAACTGAGCCTGCGTAAACGGGAAAACCGAAATTCCTCCGCAGACCCCAACGGACCTTGATCCGAAGACTCGCGTGCTAACATCCCAATCCATCCCAATGCTCTGACCCTGAGGTTCGGGTGCGAAGCACCCCAACCCTGACCTATCCATGACCCCCTGGCTTAGTTACTGACGCTTACAACACTGTAAACCCTATCATCAGCCTCTGTGCTTCGTTTTGGATCCGCGGCCCCAGGGAGGTCCCCACCGTTTCACTGGGGGAAGGGGGGGGGTCTCGTCCTGGAACAAAGGTTGATGGCCCCAGGGCTCGAACACGGCCCTCGCGGTCAAGGGGTGCCCCCCAATTCCCAAGGACGCTCCACTTGCCTCCAGAGCACCCCTCATGAGGCCCAAGGGGCCTCGGGAGCCTTAGATAGCAAATTATCCCAGTGCGACCCTACCTAGGAGTTGGAACCCCTAGGAAAGCAGCATTAGTAGTAACAGTCACGCTAAGCTAAAGCTAAGCTAAAGCTAAGCTAAATCTAAGCCACAGCTAAGCCACAGCTAAGCTAAAGCTAAGCTAAAGCTAAGCTAAAGCTAAGCTAAAGCTAAGCTAAAGCTGAGCAACAGCTAAGCTAAAGCTAAGCTACAGCTAAGCTAAAGATAAGCTAAAGCTAAGCTAAAGCTAAGCTAAAGCTAAGCTAAGCTAAAGCTAAGCTAAAGCTAAGCTAAAGCTAAGCTAAAGCTAAGCTAAAGCTAAGCTAAAGCTAAGCTAAAGCTAAGCTAAAGCTAAGCTAAAGCTAAGCTAAAGCTAAGCTAAAGCTAAGCTAAACGCTAAGCTAAAGCTAAGCTAAAGCTAAGCTAAAGCTAAGCTAAACGCTAAGCGAAAAGCCAAGCGAAACGCTAAGCTAAAGCTAATCTAAACGCTAAGCTAAAGCTAAGCTAAAGCTAAAGCTAAAGCTCTCAGGGGACTGGGGGAACCGCGGGGCGGGGACTGGGGAAACCGCCCAGGGCGGTTAGCACTGCCCGGCCCTTTAAACTAAGAGAGTAAGAACCCCTCTAGGCAGAGCCTATGTAGGGAAAAACAAAAAAAAACATAAACAAAAACTGTCGACGGTCTGCGCGGATGTCTTGGACCTGCGCTGGGGGGGCCCGGCGCGGATCCGTGAAACCCGCGCGGAGCGCCAAGAGTCTATGTTTATGGCGTTGTTTCTGCTTCGGCCAATGGCCTCCAAAACCCCACCCCTCACGAGGCCCATGGAGCCCCAGGAGCCTGACGGTGTAGTGGGAAGCGGGGGAGGGGCACCTTGGGCCAGGGGCATCTGCAGCCACCCCCGCCCCACCACAGGGCTGAAGCTAAACGGCGTTTCTCGTTTTCGTTCCCTCGTTCGTGTCTCGACTCCGCCTTTCCCGCAAGGAGGAGGAGGAGGAGGAGGAGGAGGAGGTGGAGGAGGAGGAAGAGAAATCGAAACGAAAACGGCCCACGAAATCACCCCAAACACCGTGTAGGTTCAGCCACCCCCGCACCGGCTGCGCAGAAAAATCTGCTGGCTGGAGACCTCTGGGCCTGGGGACACCACTATAGGGGTGCCCCTCCCGCTCTGCCCCGCACCTCTCCCGGGGGGGGGGGGTCGCTCTGGCCAGGACTTCGAGGCGAGTCCAGCGTTAGGTCGGGCCTGTCCCCCTGCAGCGGGATCTTGAGCGAAAAATGAAAAGTGCTCAAAAAAAAAACCCACACTATTTTTTGGTAGTCCCCCTGTAGAGGGACAGGCCCGACTTAAATCCAGCTGTGGTGAGGAGGGCCCCCCAGGAGGCCGAACAAGTCAACGTTTTCTTGCTCGGCGTCTCGACATTGGGCGGACGCGGGGGGGGCGTCTGGCTCCGGAACTCTGCTCACTGCGACTCCCTGCAGCCGTGCGTCCTCTGGCGGAGGCCCCACCTGCTCGAGGCAGGCGCCCAACACAGCCAGGATCTACTCCATCGGGGAGGGGGGGAGGGGAGGCGCGAGGGCCCGCGTCTATCGGCAAGACGACGCATCAGAAAACGATCGCCCAAGGGAAAACGGGCGCAAGGTCGCGGCATGGGTGCCGGGGGCGGCGCCGGCGAGGCGCCGCGGGGGGCGGCCCATGCGCGGCTCCGAGAAATCCGCGCGGAGCGCCGGGAATCTATGCTTATGGCGCGTTCACTTTTTTCGGATGCAGGGTCCCTGGGGAAACCAACGGGCACCGACACCGCTACTCCCCGGACCTCTCCCTTGGTGCCAGGCGAATCCAGCGGTGGCGACGAGGGCCTCCGAAGAGGCCCCGAACAAGGGAAAACGGGCGAAGGGTATAACGGTACGGGTAGATCCTCCTCCTCCGAGTCGCGGGGCGGAGCCCGCGCAAGCCGGC